TTTTTTATATAATCAGACAAATTAATGATTGGATAAATAAATTAAAAAAATTAAAAACGTGCATCAGGCAGTCAAAAAATTATTATTTTAAATTTAGATTATTTTATTTAACATCCTTTTATTTCCAATCTCTGTACACCAAAATGCATTTAAGTAAATAAGTTATTAAAATTAAGTAGTTACAAAGCTGACTTAATGATTGTCTATTTATTGGCATCACATAAATTCAGATTTATTTAACAAATGCACCTGCTACATTTATTTGCTTTTTGCAAACTGAAGATTGTTCAGATCTGCAATGAAGATCTGATTAAATAAGAAATTTAAAAATGTTCAACTCTCTTTAAAAAAAACACTTGATTTACAGTGTATCACTGTAAAAGTTTAGAGACTAATTATTGACAAGACAAATGCCAAGTTTCTTTTCTCTGAAAATAAAAGTCTATTACTCCTTCCTGCTTTTCATGCCAGAGTTCTTAAACATACATCATGTTATGTTGTGACATGTCATATGTCGCCATTCTAAACTTCATTTGTTAATCATATGTAAATGTACATCCACAGATTACTTTCTCAGAGTTTTGATTAAGTCTGTCCAGTGGTTCATGAGATATTTTGCTAACAGACAGTTGACTCCAAGAGCTCATGCCAAAGTTTTAAGCAAAGAATCTTCCATGATTAGTAACACTCAGAGTATGCGTTAGGGATGATTCTTGTGTATTTGTACACCGAATTCTAGTTCAATAGCTGTCAAATTGACTGAGTTATAACAATTTTGGTGTTTGTTAATATCATTTAGCGGGGGTAGCCATCTTGAATTGTGCTGACTCAAAAAGTTAAACAGTTGTAGATGTGTTTTTAATAATTACTTCTTGAAAAGTTCAACTAAATTAATCTAGTGGTCCATGAGATATTTAACTAACAAACAGATAAATGCACGCACAAAGACAGAATAACACGTCGTCCGACTTTCACCTTCTGGCGTTGGGCAATAAAAGAAAAAATTAAAACGTGTTAAATTTGACTAAACATTAGTTTTATGCAACTTGATCAAAATTAGTCCACACTTGTAAGTGTTCAGACTGATTTTTTTTTTTTTTTTTTAGTAGGTGGAAATGAGACAATGTAGAGTGGTCTATTCCTCTCATCAACTGCAATGATCAAAGCTGTAAGAATTAAGTACCAATGTCCAAGTCCAGGAGATTTGCAGGGCCAAATGTAGAACCACAGGCTCCCCTAATCTGCCTAATTTGTTCAACCACAGATGCCACAGATCCTTTGAATTGGATCAAAGGCACAGAGACTGTGTGGAGCGCCTTGCTGCGTCTGACAGAGGAACTGCAGGAGGAAGCCGAATGGCAACATCAAAAACCACAAACTAACACTGAATTAACCACAAACCAAGAATTGTCTTGGGCAAAAATTAAAGACAGAAGTCAGCTTCAAACGTTTTTGAATTTTGAAACTCTAGAATGATTTTTGCTGAAACCAGATAGTTCATCTGAGCATGATCGATGTGATGATGATAGTAAAATCGTACTATATACGGTGTTTTTAAAAGTTTGACAAGTAAATGCACCAAAGTAAACTATCCCAGCCTCCGTGTCTTTGATTCATAAGATTTTTTTATTTTTTTTTAAATGAGATCAAAAGCCAGCAATGTGTTGTCTCTCACTTCGGGATGAATAACACACATGACCACCCACAAGATTCACTGTGCTTCCCCCCGTGTTTTTTTTTTACTCTAAGGCAACTAGAAACAAACTGTGTTGAAGGACTGAAGAAAAAGGAGCCCTGCCTAACTGGATCATTCAAAAGACCCAGTGAAACATAACTTTCTTCCAGTTTTTCTATAGCTACACCATCTATAGTCATTCACTTCAGTACGTGTGTATGGGTGGGGGCAAACCAAAACATGTGACAATGTAGCTGTGGACTCATGAGAAAGCATGTGACATCATCGATCTTCCTTGCCACCCCCTTCTTCCTCTTTCTTTGAATGGTTAAATGAGACCATCTCATTTGCAAGAAAAAATGATTCTAGTCATTTTCCTCACATAATAAATAAGTTATTTCTGCATTTGCTGTAGTACAGAGAAAACCGAGGGAGAAAACAATTCTAAAGAATGGGGAATTGAGTGTATGGGTTTTTATTTAGTTTGACATCCAATGTAGTTTTCTAACGTCCACAGGCTTTTAGTGGATTTTATTACAGTCTTGAAAAAGTACTACTACCCCTTGAACTTTTTGAACATTTTATCATGTAACAATCACAAACTTTGAAGTGTTTTAAGGGGATTTTATGTGATAGACTAACACAAAGTAGACATTTTTATAGAGTGTAAATGATTCATGGTTTTCAAAAGGTTTTTACAAAAACAAATATAGTGTGGTGTACATTTAGATTGAGCCCTCTACACTGATACACAGAACAAAACCTGTTACAAAAAACTGCCTTCAGATGTCACCTGTAAATGTGTCAATGCCGAGGCATATGGAACACTGGGACGCCATGTCATCCAGACCAGAGAGGACAAGGATAGCCCAAGTTGTTATCAACGCTCTGTTCAGAAGCCTGCATCACTGATGGTATGGGGTTGCATGAGCACTTGTGGCATGGGCAGCTTGCATGTCTGGAAAGGCACCATTAATGCAGAGAACTATGTTCAGGTTCTAGAACAACATATGCTCCCATCTAGACGTCATCTCTTTCAGGGAAGACCCTGCATTTTTCAACACGATAATGCCAGACCACATTCTGCAGCAATCACAACATCATGGCTACGTAGGAGAAGGATCCGGATACTGAAATGGCCAGCCTGCAGTCCAGATCTTTCACCTATAGAGAACATTTGGTGCATCATAAAGAGGAAGGTGCGACAAAGAAGGCCCAAGACGATTGAACAGTTAGAGGCCTGTATTAGACATGAATGGGAGAACATTCCTATTTCTAAACTGGAGAAACTGGTCTCCTCTGTCCCCAGACGTCTGTTGAGTGTTGTAAGAAGAAGGGGGGATGCCACACAGTGGTAAAAATGGACTTCTCCCAAATTTGGGGGGATTTGTTAAAGCCATGAAATTTGGAAACAACAGATTTTTCCCTTAAAATGATACATTCTATCAGTTTAAACTTTTGATCTGTGATTTGTGTTCTATTCTGAATAAAATATTAGATGTTGGCACCTCCACATCATTGCATTCAGTTTTTATTCACAATTTGTTTAGTGTCCCAACTTTTTTGAAATCCGGTTTGTATATATGTGTGTGTGTGTGTGTATATCTATCTATCTATATATATATATATATATATATATATAGATATATATATATATAGATTATATATATATATATATAGATAGATAGATATATGGGTGTGTGTGTGTGTGTGTGTGTGTGTGTGTGTACGTGCGTGCGTGCGTGCGTGCGTGCGTGCGTGCGTGCGTGCGTGTGTGTGTGTGTGTGTGTACAGAAGTGGTTGTTAAAAATTTAAAGCAGGGTTAGGTTACGAAACCATTTACCAAGCTTTGAACTAGTCATTTATCTGAAAATTGAAAGTTCATGTCTCAACTGCAGACCTACCAAGTCTTAGCCATCCACCCAAACTGACAGGTCATGCAAGGAGAGCATTATTCTGAGACGCAGCCAGGAAGCTCATGGTGATTCTGGAGGAACTGCCGGAATCTCAACTTAGGTGGACAAAGTTGTCAACAAGGCAGCTAATAGTTGTGCACGCCACATTTTTAGCTTACATGAAAGAGTGGCAAGAAAAAAGCCAGGTTGGAAAACAAAAAGCCACAAGACACTGTCTGCCACAATTTATGCTGGAAACTCTGCAAACATGTGGAGGAAATTATAAGCTCAGATCAACATTAAACTTTTTTGCCCTAAATGTAAAACACTATAAATGGTGGAAAACTAACACTTACTGCACATTGCGCCGAACACACCACCAACCACTGTGAAAGTGATGAAAGCATCATGCTGGAGCTTTACTTCAACTGGAACACAGCTGGGCAATCCTGTACTAAAACTTCTCCAGTCTGCAAAACACCTTAAACAGGGGTGAAGGTTCACCTTCCAGCAGGAAAAGAGATGGTTACTCAGACTAATGCAATTAATGTGGTACAGATTTTAAATCAATTGTTTTTCTTAAAAAAAAAAAAAAAAGTTGGGGATTAAAAAGTGCATAAATGGCATGATTTCCTTAAAACTAAAAACACTTTAACTAACATGGGCTTGTCTAAACATTTGCTACTGACATATTTAATTTAACAGGGCAAATATAATGAACTTGCTATGTGAATTCATAAATATGTTGAAAAAAATACAGTGAAACAGCACTTTAAAAAGTCGACGCATTCTTACAAGTGATGATTAATGAAACATGAATCCAAGTTGTGGCTGAACCCGAGTTTATGCAAACTTTCAGCGGGCGTGTAGAGGCGGAAGTACGGGATCAAACACAACCAACGGTTCCGCGACGTTGCCTTCAAAACAAAAGCTTGGTAACGTAGCTTAAGGTTGAAACATACCACTACCGTTTAAATTTGAAAAGAAGCGGCAAAAATTAAGCGCAGTTTAAAAAAAATCACCACTAAAAGCAATGTAAAATTTTTTTTTTTTTATCTCGCTTTCACTTACTTCAACTTTAGCGTTTAATTTTCCAAACGGAACAACGCAGCGCGTTTTTTATTTTACTTTGAAGGCATAAACCGGAAGTAGTGCCTTTAACGTCGTCGAGTTTAACGCGGTTGGAGGTGTGGATGGAGGAGAAGCAACTTGGAGAAACGGACCGCGATAAGTTTTATTTGACCGTCATACTGCGTTGCCACGAGTATTCTGCCGTTTCTTCGTGACGGGAGAGAAGGCGGCGTCTCCATAATGGCGAGCGCAGCGCTACTGGCGTTTCCTGCTCAACTTTAATGAGAAGAGTTTGAGAAGAAAAAAAAAATTGACAGTTGTTTCTGGTGTCATTGACATTAGAACAAATTGTTGCTGCCATGACACATTTAACTTGTTTTTCGATTTGGACATTTGCTTTTAGCTTATACTTCGGCGTGTCGACATGCTACTTTTCAATACCGCTGAGAATGTACCCGGGAAAGTACAGTGTATCTGGAGGCCATGGAGGTTTGACTCCTCTCCGGCTCGTCGCTGTGAAGTCTGATGGAGACGGCCTCTCTTTGGCCTCTGATCCAGCTGGTACCGTCAACTTTCTGGACATGGTCAACAACTTGCAGGGAGACTCTGGAAGAGGCTACTACTTAGAGATGTCTCTCGGTAGTCCTGGCCAAAAGGTACAGCTGCTGGTATTACAGGCTGTAATGTGTCAAAGTAGCAGGTGGTTTCTGACACGTGCCTCTTTTTAATTATCTGTTTGTTCATTGGTGTTTTTCTTTAAGTCATTGAACTTCACGTTTATTGCTATTGATGGTAGTTGTTTTTGTGGCTATGACCAGCTGTATGTCCATACATACATGTGTATATATATAGTGTATGTGTATATATATATATATATATATATATATATATATATATATATATATATTCTGTTGAAGTTTTACTGAATTGTGATCAGTTTGTCTTTCAGCCACAGTTTGCTTGACCATTTCTTATGATGTGTGCACAGCTTGCATAACAATATTCCAGGTCGTGCACATTATTTCTTTGCACTCTTCATACCTGCATCAGCAGCCATCCCTAAGTTTAGTATTCAGTCAACAACTGATGATTGATGCAGTTGGACTAGTTTTTTTTTTATTATTATTATGATTTATTATGTGGGATTTATGGATCTGTAGAAATCTGTAGATTATTTACTTTTCTTTTTGGAAGGTTAGGCAGTGATGCTCTGTCAAAAAAAAAAAAATTTATTAAATCACCCCAACTAGGAAAAGAAACTCGTTCAGGAACAGTTTGGTATGTTACAGCCAGGTGATGGTTTCAAAAACACAAAATCAGTCGTAACATTTGCGTTGGTGTGTTTAATTCCTAGACTTTGAATATTTCAATTGGAATACGCTAAATTACTTAAATCCAGATTTGGTCTTTTTCTGGTTTGCAGATTTTTATATATATATATATATAAAATTTTCAAAGTGATGTGTTAATCCTGTTCAAGCCATTATCTTTGTATTTGTTATTTAAGACAAATTTTCATGCTGCCATAGCCATGACAAAATGGTATTTGTCTGTTGCATCTTTATTCTCAGAGTTGCTGCAGCTGCCTTCACAGCCTTGGGGTCTGTAGGTAGACTAGGCTTCCCGTTCACATGCACTCACATGATGCTGCCTGTGAGGACCAGTGTTTCTTTCCAGGCAGCTGACCAGGATTATGAGGCTCCCAGGGAACAAAGAGCAGCCTCCGGAGTTGTACAAAAATCCACTGGCCCTGGTTTGATGCCAATTTGCTCTTTTTTTTTTTTTTTTTTTGGTTGGGTAGAAGTTTTAATCAACTGTTGTCATAAATTAATTTTAATGCCAAGATGAATAAGATCATATTAATGCTTATGAGGGACAAAATTTGGATGAGTTGAAATCAAGAAGGCCTTGAAGGGTAGCAACGATTTGTCGATGTGCTGTAAATAGGTGTGTTTGAAGCAGAGCTTAAACCAAAGGTGAGTTATCTCTTTAGTAAATTGACCTGTTGCCCTCAGACCTTTAAGTTAAACAGATCAGAGCTTTTAGGACTCCTGGGTGGTGCAGGTTTACTTTTCCTTGCTCAAATAGGCTGTTGCTGAGGAAAATGGCAGCACTAGTGTGAGAGACAGAAAATCTGCAAAGTCACCAAAATGTGCCTTACACTCTTCCACATCCAACACCTCTGTCCTAAATGGTTTGCAAAAGAAGAAACATCATATATTTTTTAATAACTGTTGAGATTATGATTCATTCACAAGACCTTTTATGCCTGCAGACCTTAAATGCACAAAGACCAAATGTGTAAAAATCATGAGGCACAGATGTAATTATGGAGAGTCAGCAGATGGATGAATAGCAACAGATTCACTGTATTGTCATGTGATTCTTTCACAAATAATCCTCGGAGGATACAACAATCCAAACAATCACTTTTATTGTACCGTACAAAGGAAAATCACATGAGAATCAAGAAATGTTCCAGTTTTCACTTTCCAGTTAAAAAGATGTTGCACATGTTGAGTTGATATAGCGCCATGAAAATTCCTCAGTTTATAACTTCCATAAACAAGTATTTGTGAATACATTATGTTCTGTCTAAATATTTAAGAATGTTGATAACAGACAAGTGGCATACATTTTATGAATGGGAATCTGATTATTTATTAAAACATAGGTTTTTTTATATTTGTATGTCATATTATGGCAAAATGTTTTTATATCAGGGAATCTTTCAACATTTCTACGAGTTTAAAATAGTGCAAAAATGTTTCCATGTTTTATTTAAACAGGAATAGTTTAAAGTCAAACTGCAATCACAGCTTTCCATACTTTAGATTTTTGATTTGCTGTCTTTGTCTCTGGTTAGGATTTTAAACATTCTCAAACTTCAACTTTTGATTCTGTTCCTCTTTGTCTCCTTCCTCCCAGCTGCATTTCTAACATCCTACCAACTTACCTACTACTAGTACTCTGTAGTCTGTCTTGTTATGGCTGTCTTTTCCCCCTCTTCTTTCAGCTGCATACCTCCACCTCTCCAAGTTCTCTTTCACCTGTTCCTTGTTCTCACTACAGACCACAATACCATCTGCAAGCTTCATCTTCCATGGGGATTTTTGCCTCACCTCATCTGTTATTCTGTCCATCACCAGAGCAAACAAGAAGGGTTTCAGAGCCGATCCTTGATGCAATCCCACCTCCACCTTGAAGCTATCTGTCACTCCTACAGCACATCTCACCACTGTCCTGCTGTCCTCATACATGTTGTGTGCCAGTCTAACATACTCTGCTACTCCAGATTTCCTTCTGCAGTGCCACACCTCCCTCAGAAACCTGTCCTATGCTTTTTCTAAATCCACAAAGACACAATGGAATCCTTTCTGACCCTCTCTATACTTCTTCAGCATCCTTAAAGCAAAGATGGCTTAAATATATAGTGTTTTTTTGTGGTATGAAACCATACTGCTGCTCACAATCACCTCTTGTCTATTCTTGTTGCTTGTGAACTCACAACATTCTTCCTTCCTCAACTTCCACCATTTGGCATTTTTCCTCTGACTTTACTCTATTCCACTTCTTCACTACAACAGTCATACACACACAACCATCTGATGCTGTCTGGCCACGCTCTGCCCTGCCATAGCCATACAGTCCCCAATCTCCCTCAGGTTTCCTTTTCTACTCAGATTGTGGTCTGCCTGTGTACTCCCTCCTCCATTTTTTTAGGTCACTCCATGTCCCTCTGTCTTTTGGAAATCAATGTTGACTACAGTCATTTCTGTTCTTCTGGCAAAATTCACCACCATCTGTCCTTCCTGGTTATTTTCCTTAGCACCAGACCTGCCCATCACTTCATCTTCTCTGTTTCCTTCACCAACATGTCCATTCAGAACATCACTCAGTTCATCTAGACCCTTTCATCCATCCATCCATCCATTCATTATCTTCTGCTTGTTCCAAAGTCAGGTCGGGGGCAGTAGCTTGAGCAGGGAGGCCCAAACATCTCTTTACACAGCCACCTCTTCCAGGTCTTCTGGAAGTACCTCAAGGCATTCCCAGGCCAACTGAGAGACATAGTATCTCCAGCCTGTCCTGGAGATACTATGTGTCTTGGTCTCCATCTCCTCTCAGTAAGGCATGCCTGAAGCACCTCCCTAGGGAGGCACCCAGGGAGCATCTTTACCAGAAGCCCGAACCACCTCAGCTGGTTCCTCTCGATGTGGAGGAGCAGCAGTTCTACTCCAAGTCTTTCCCAGATGACTGAACTTTTCACCCTTATCTCTAAGGGAGAGTCTATCTACCCTGCAGAGGAAACCCATTTCAGCTGCCTGTATCTTTTATCTCATTCTTTCGGTCACTGCCCAGAGTTCTTGGCCATAGGTGAGGGTAGGAACCTAGACCGACCAGTAAACAGAGAGCTTTGCCTTACAGCTTAGCTCCCTCTTTACCACAACAGACCAGTACAGTGTCCACAATACTGTAGATACTGGTGTAATCCATGGTTCAGCAGCTGCACCTGGTTACCAAATTGCATGTTGTTGCTCTATGGGAGTGTATATAAAGAGTGACAGCAAGTCATGTCACTTCCTTTTTCCTCACTTCCTCTGTCAGACTGAGAGACCTGTTTGAAAGGCTTTTTGGACTTTCAAACCTTTCTACACACAATCAGTGGTGAGTTCATTGTGTTCAGTAGATGTTAGTAAAACCTCTTATTGATTTAACCAAGCTTACAAAGTCATTTTCCAAACTCTTCTTTTGCTGCCAGTTATAAAGCTAAACCCGTTAGCGCAGCACTACCAACCACACCCAATGACCACCATCATGTTTCATGATTTTGTGTTTTGTCTACTGATAAACAAATCATTGTATCAATATAATTGTTGTGGGTTTTCCCTTTTAAAACCAAGATTGAAGCTATAGCTAAAGGTAAAACAAACAATTGCTTTGGTAATCCAAATTGAAGTGTTGTACAACCAAATGAATGTTTAATGTATTTTTCCACCTCTCCATAGGTCAGATCTTTTTGGATGATTTCATATTCCTGTGGAATCTCTGATGGCGAGCTACCCTTGCCACAATAACCTTTTTGTGAAGAACTACCCCTGCCTGTTGAGTTGGTAGAAACTGTGGACTCTGAATTATGGACCTGGTTCAAAGTTATGGATTCTAACTTTTGAACGTCTTTGTTTTTTTTCTGAAACTGAAAGGCCTTATAATCAATTTTTTTTTCTTACAGATTTGTTTGCATAACCAATGTTTGTGTTTATTTTTGCTCCTGATTTAAATACAATTTTGTTTTCCAACCTTTAAAACTGGTCTCTGTGGTCAATAGCATCCAGTATGGTGTTGGGCTTTTCCTGAACCTAGACTTTGAAACTAAGAAACCCAGTAGATGTGTTACACTGCACCAGTTCATCTGTCAATCTCACGCTCTATTCTTTCCTTACTCATGAACAAAACCCCAAGATACCTGATGAGAGGTGATGACCATAGCCTCAGATTGATCATATAGATCCTTTCAGAATTTATCTTTTTCTTATGCATCACATCCAACCTGTGAGGCATAACCACTGAAAATATTTAGCATCAGACCTGCTTCTGCCTCTAGAAAAATCACCCTATCTGACACTGTTTTCACCTCTACTACATTTTTTTGCAG